TATAATGCCCGGTTGTGTGTCTGTAGAGTCAAACTGGAGCAACAAACAAGGTGGGTCTGGAAACAACGGACTGGCTAGTGCTTTCAGTTTCCCATAGTAACACCAAACACAAGAAAAACAAAGGTTACTTGTCAACATTTCATGTGGTCTATCGATTATTATCAGCAAATAATGGTCTATGACTTTTCTTTCAAAAGTGAGAAAACACGAATTACGGTAGTTCCAATCAGAACCATAATGTCAGAAAAATCATCAAACGGGTATCACAACGATAGAAAACGTCACACCAGAACAAACCACAGATACTAAGTTTGACTTACGTGGGAGCGTAGCCGTAGTAATAGGGATTTGGAGCGTTGTGACCACTGGTGGAATGCATGTGCTGAGTAGCCGCTGCGTAGGAAGGCAAGCCGGTTGGATTCATCGGTTCTGATTCACACGCAGGGGCTGGCCCACTAGAATTCGGGTTAGGTCCGGCCGCATAACGACCTATAAAATGAAAACGAGACGACCAATTAAACTATATCGGGACTTTATTAGATCAATGAACTGTCACCATGGCAACAAACAAAGGGAATAACCAAATCAGAAACCAGAAGAACTAGTCTGTCCGGTTGTTAGCTCGATGTGACTGATACGTATAAACCGCAACGCGTCACCGTCCATACACATACACACACATGATTGCACAAAACACACAAGAGTGGATGGATTACCCTAAATGATCCAACATGCAATAGTCTGAGGAATCTGGTGAAGAGCGCGGTATATAGGAGAAAAAATTAACGTGATATCAGATGAGCAAGCAGAAATTCACGATACAGTGAAGCTAAAGAATCAAAGATCGTGTTCCTATGTCGTTTTGTCGCGTTGCCCGGCCTTCACAATTATTTCTCTATGCATCACGTGAAAAAATCTACGATATTTTAGTGTGCATCTTCACTCATCACATATTGACACGGAAATTTCACCGCAAACGGACCGTTTTGACAATCAGCTATCGTCATAACTGTGTGTGATTCGCATCACGTGCTTGCCTTTCGCTCTCTCCCTCTCGCTCACACATGTACCAATATGGCATTATTTGATCTGGTCAGTTTTGTACAAACCCATACTAGTGTTGTATGGTTCGCGGTCCACTGTGTCTAACCGTGTACGTGGCTCAATATTAGTATTCGGTTATTGAAATACTGAGCTATTGCATTTCGTTGACATCGGGCACGATATGTTGGAACAATAATAACAACAGCTGATTGATCTTGAGTGTCAAGGTCGAGAAATTTCTTGGTAAGAAGCTGGAACGAGCAAATCTCTTCTGTTCCACAAGACGACTCGCACAACAAGCGTGCAAACTAGACAGGAACGCAGTCTAACAGAATTCGACTAAGTTTAAAAAATGCACTGGGCTTTATATCGGTACTTAATCACCGTAACTTTTAAGGGACTAACTGTTGCGTGAGGTTAAGTCGATTTCTTGGGTGGATATGATGATGGCAGTCCGTGCGTAGCGATCAGGTGGCGCAGCATAATACCAAGTTCTGGCTCCAGTTACGAGTTCCACATACGAATTGAATGTTTCCTATTCGCCCTGATCGTAATGTTTCGGGTCTTCAGTTGGTCAGCAATACCACCCATAGCAGGATAAACGAGCTGGAGTCTGGTGCGGGAGCTGAGTGTCAAGCGTTTGGAGCACGCAGCCAAACCACTGACGGCGCCAGCGCTGTAGCATTTGGGATGTTCGAACTGCGCCACCGAACTTCCTCATTGGAAACTCGATCTCTCCAATGTGTTTTCCAGATGTAACGTAAGCACCAATAGTCAAGTACCTCAAACTGCCTTTTATTTAATCCTCTTAGCAGCTATGTTTCACAACCCTAAATTAGGATAGGGTGGATGGAAGCCTAATAAAATCCGAAGTTTGGTGTATGGGTTTCGCATCGGTTCCACAACGGTCTGAGCAGTAGTAGGAAGATTCTT